TCAAAAGGAAACATTTTTAATTGCATTAAAGAAAAATGCATAAATAAAAATTGCTTAAAGAAAAATACCTAATAAAGTATTTCTTACCAGAGATTATAACCCTGATCATCTTAGTAGATGCTTTCTTTCAACAAAATCATTGACAATTAAGCTCACATAGCACAAAATGTTTAACTAAACATTAAAAAATAGACACTCCATATACCAAAATAGTTTTAAAAAATACCTTATTTGCATTATATACATATCCAAAAAAACAATAAAATCAAAAGAAGAGCAAAAAACAAATCATGCTAACCCATGGTTTGGTGCAATTCCATTTTCTATTGTTAAACAACCAAGTTCTTTCTTTTCTTTGTCATCTTCTGTATGGTCATCAGATCTAGAAAACAGAAAATCAAAATTGATCTTAAGAAATAAGGTAAAAAAAACTTCATAAATAAAAGACAACTTATCTTCTCAAACCTGATTATAAAGACAGTTCCATAATAAAATTTCTAAGCATTTCTCATACAAAGACCAATGAAAAGAAGGGCAGTAAGAACCTTTACTGCACATTTTCTGTATTCCAGAAACTACACTGGGAACTTCACATTTTCATTTACAATTCATAATAACCCTATCAAGATGATATAATTCTTATTAAAATTATTTGACAATATTTCATTGAAAAGAAAATGAATATTTACATGAAGCATTTGTTAAAAGGCAGACTGCTGGGCTTAACCACCCTCAGTCCCAAGTTTCTGATTCAATAAGACTGAGATAAATCACAAGGATTTTCATTGCAAACAAGATCTTAAGTGGTACACTGGGTCTAGGGACCACACTTAAAGAACTCTTGGTATAAAGGAATTGTGTGAAGGTTATGTAATTACAAAGAGTCACAGCTGGCAATTAAATGTCAGTCTTTGATTACAAAGGGCATGCCTATACAGGACATGCTGCTCTGTCTGACACATTGAAGACTTTATACTAATTATCTTCTCATCCCCTCTCTTCCTGCTTCACATTAATTAATTTTGTTGTTGTTGTTTTTAATGCATTTTATTGAAATATAATTTATGTACACTAAAATAAAACTAAAGTGACAAGGGTCAATGCATTTTTTTTTTTCTTTGCAGTGTTCCCTCCACTCCCCTCCCACCCCTGGCAACCAACAAAGAAAGTTTCCCTCTGTATACAAAACTTTCCGTGACCCTCCACAACTACGAACTAATACTTTGTCTATCTGTGATTGACTTATTTCACTCAGCATAATGTCCTCTAAGTTCATCCATATTATGTGGGGTTTTGCAGACTCTCCATTATTCTTGAGTGCTGCACAGCATTCCATTATGTGTATGTACCATAGTTTGGTCATCCACCCTTCTGCTGATGGGCACGTAGGTTGTTTCCATCTTTTTGCTATTGTAAATAGTGCTGT